TGGTTCCTGAGGAATTGCCTAATGAGGAGGGGATGGAAGTGGAGCAGGAATACAGAGATGAAGAAAAGACCAAAGGAAAGGAATTGCTATAGAAGAAAAAGATCTTGTTAAGATTCACAATGAAGGGTTTAGCAGTAGCTTTTGCAGAACTTAACAAGTCCCTTTAAAGCTGAAAATACAAACCCCCAAATCTGTTTACCCTTAGAACTGATAGTTAATAGAAAAGATGGTAAATAACTGAAAAGTGAGTGAAATAAACTATGATTATTAAACAGCATGATTCAATAGTGAAATGACTTTGTTTTTCCTCTCCTTTATTCAACAGCCATCTCCAAGAGTGCATACCCTGCAACTGCCACAATATAAAGAATACCAAGACTTAAATGAGTTCTGGATGGAAACAAGCTCACCATTTACTTTTACTTGAAAACCACAAAATGACAAGTTATTTTAAAAATGAGAACTATCAATTCAATTCTGGCTTAAATGTAACCCTCCTTTACAACAGCATTTAAAACCAAACCATGCATAACTAAAGAATGTATTCTAAAAATACAGAAGACATTGTAATTGTATATTGTAATTGTGGTCTTGAGAAGGTCTCCTACCATACATGAAAAAAATCATAGAAACATATTTTTATGTTCTGTCATTAAATTTATTGCATCTGTGCTGATCTGGGCTACTTGATTATACATAAGGGTAAATGCAGAGAGTGAACTGATGAGGAGAAATGATTTTGGAGCTACAGAATTCAAATTAGTTGTGTTTTTTGGACCAAAAATCTGCTTCGTTATTTTGTCAACAAGGAGAAGATAGCATATATTTCTAGAAAGTAACCTACACCAGAATGGTTTGTAACTTGGGGTGATCCAGTTATCCATGCCCCCAATCCACAAAACATCTATCAAGTCAGGAGAAATTCTGATTATCATAACTACTGCCATCTACTGGTATCACTGGCATCTAGTGTAGAGGCAGGGAATAATGTTAAACATTTTCCACTGCTTGGGGCAATTCCTACAAGTACCTAGCCCAAAATGTCAAAAAAGTCTAGGTTGAGAAATCTCTCAACAAATTTGCCAAGTTTTATACATCTCATACTGATTTGAAAACCATCACTAATGATCAGTTTTAGTTGTCAAGGTGCTCCAGTCTTAAGCCAGTTTAATTCAAATAGAGAATCAATTATAGGCCAATTTACCGAGTTTTATTATTCATATGTCCTTTTTTTAAGTGTACCCTGACTGACTTCCTTCAGAAATTACAAAATGCTCTCATTAGTTCTTTTCATTAGATCTTGGGTCCTGTCTTGCCTAAAATTTCTCATGCCTAGACAGTAATAATATGAAATATGAATATGGCTTTACTCATTATCAAGAAAAAATGTGAATTTATATTTTATGTTTTGGTAATAATAATCTCGTTTATACCACTGAATAAAAACAGGCTTATTAACTAACACAGCTTTACAATATTACCCTGCCCAACACTCCTGAATGTTCAAAATACCAGTCAGAGGGCATGGAAGAAAAGAGTGTAAATCAATCTACATAACCGAATAGAAAGCTATCACAATCAGTCTCCACCTTTCTCCTTCCAAACTAATTCCATACAGATTATTATATTTCTTCAAATATTAGAAGTTGAAGTTTAAAAACAAAGGAAAGCACCTAATTATAAAAGAAGAATTAAAAGCAATGTCATTTCTAAAAATTCTGACTGAGGATGGATTCCATTACATCCAAGACAATCTTAACCATCTAAGAGATTTTTTTAAACAATCCTATTATCTATTCTTGATACTAGGAGGTTTTCTTTCATTTTGTTGTGGTTATTTGTTTTTGTTCTGGTTTTTCCTCAAAAAGGAGCCAAGACTTCCAGGATTTATGTTTCTGCTTGGAAGAACTCTGGGACCTCAAAAGCAAATACTGGAAACCCTGTAAAATCCTCTCAGATATATACCCTTAGAAAGGTCAAGGGGAAAGAATGTCATAAAAGGCTTTTAAAATCATTTTCCTCTCTAGTCAGAGGACAGCAGAAGTATACAGGGCAAGAGGGGCTGCCCCATCCAACATTCTTGCACTCACTTCAAATAGCACTGACCTACCTGTAAATAATCTCTCCAATGCTCTATGCAACTGTAAACTAGGTTTGTTATTGCTTCTTTGGGTTGTGTTCTGTGAGAATTAAGTGCTTTTTGATCAATGAATAGAAGCTGAGATAGAAACTAGAAATAAGGAAAATAAACTCTTTGCCTTTAAATAGAAGTGGCTCCAGTTTCCGTTTACAAGCTTGAAGGGTTGTTATACATATTAAAACTGCTGCAAAGCTTCATCCGTGGTCACAGAAATCCCTCCTCCTTCTTTCCCAGTCCCCACCCCCGTTGACACTGAAGATGTCAGATCCCAGGGAAACAACAGTTAGGAAAGGATGCGTTTCATAGCTTGTATTAGAAAAGGCTGGCAACCCCATCTCTGCATAAAATAGCACTAAAGTGAGTCACAATGCCGGAAGCTGTGCCTTCTGCTTCTCTTTATCCAGATCTAATTCATCTCTAGCGAAAATACTAAATAATATTCCATAGTTTTGCCCATGTATACGACATGTCAATTCTTCTAATCCTTCGTTTGCTCTAGATAATTTTAAGCTTTAACTATCAGTGTACCACGCTAGAAGGAAAAAAATTCAGTTAACCAGATGACAGTGTTATCTAGGTATTTGGCATCAATATTAGCAAGAGTCTGTCATTTGACAATTATTTCCCTAGCACACCAGACGGTAAAGAAAATGTTTTCATTCATCCGCAAATGACTAACATTTTATTGACGTTTCAAAATGCGGCTGCATACTATTGCACTTTCAATCTGAGCCGGTTTCAAGAATTAAGCCTGAATACTAATAACATCAGCAACTCCTGCTGCAAACCTCTTGGTTAATTGCTAAGCTTGGAGTGTTAGTTTAGCAGGGAAGTGTTGTTGGTTAGGGGCTCTTAGATATCAGTCAGTTTGGGTGGTCACAGGTGATGGGAAGCCTTCCCTTTTCCCAAACGTCCTTATGCATGGCGATAAAAATCACTCTGAGTACCACTACTACCAAGCAAAACGACTCCCTGCCTGCCTCATAAAGAGCTCGGGCTGGGGAGGAAGCCGGATGCTGACCCCTGCAGAGATTATTGCTTCGGTGCGCTTTGCCAAAGGATCCTGCTAGCCTTATGAAAAACGAGTTAGGATGTGCAAGGCAGCTATATTGTTTAAGAGGAGAAGGACTGGGGCGAGGCGAAGAATATCTTTTTGAAACACTACTAAAGGCGGAGGGGTGGGGGAGGAAAAGAATTAAGGAGGGGCTAATTTATTTTTAACTACTTGTTTCTCTCCACTTGGGTCCTCTGCTTCCCGAACTCCTCACTGAACAAGATTGATCGGCAGAACTGCTATGGACTCCAGCATCAGTTCTTTCATTGATTTGTAAATGGCCCGGAATAGCTAAAGGATCTTGAATCTGAAAATGAGTTAAAGTAGGAAAGAAAAGAAAGCGGGAGGAGTAAGGGTCGGTTCCCTGTCTGGTACCCCATTCTGCCCTGGGCCAGGACGGCGGCTTGCAACAGCCTAGAGAAGCAGCAGAGGGGCTGAGGCTTGAAGAGCGGAGATTGCAGCTCTGCGCCCCCTGAGATGAAAGCTTGTTCCAACCCGGTTTTGAGGTTGTTAAAAAATAAAACTCTGTGACTCGTTAAACCCGATAACTCTGCCCTGCCTGGATTCGGATGAGCTGATCATTCCGTCTGATAGACGCAAACGGGTTAAACTGTTAAACTGCTTCTTACATAACAGAACTGACTAGCTCTACACAATTAAAACACTTGATTGCAGTCTCCTTCCAACACTGCATCCCAGCACAGCCCGCCCTGTCCCTCCCAGCGCGCCTGCGTGCCGCGCGCACACAAGCTCTGCGCTCGCGCCCCGCGCGTACTACTCGCTGTCTCACACACACACACACACACACACACACACACACACACACACACGTACACACGTTTGCTCTCTCCCTCTCTCTAACACATACACACACACACACACACACACACACACACACCACACGTGTGTGTGTCAAGACGCCTAGAGAAGGGCAGGCGTCCTCCAATCCCTATGGGCTGACCGGACAGACTCGCCAGCTGCTCTACCGCAAGGCCTCGCACCCCTTCGTGTCCCCGAAAAAAAAAAAAAATCGGCTCCCTGCCACACCGTCCCTTCAAATTCCAGAAAAGGAGTAAAAAGAAAACTAGTTAGCAGCTTCTTAACTGTAGCGCGAGACCACCCAGGCAAGATTAAAAACAAAACAGTAACAAAAACCAACTTACAGTCTTCGGCGTCATGATGGCGCCGACCACAACTTAGAAGACTTAAAACTTACGGTGCCTCAGGAGATAAAACGCACCGAAGAGGGGAAGGAAAGCGCCCCTCAGCTCTCTCCACCCCAGCCCCGGTACACTTTTCTAGCAAAGCATCCCTCTAGCGCTTACGACAGTGAGGGAAACCTTCCGTCTATGTGCATCTCTTTCCTCCTCAGTTTGCACAATTGTGATATACCTCCTCGGAATTTTTTTTTTCGTTTTCTTTCTTTTCTTTTTCTTTTCAATCTTTTTTTTCCCCCTTTCATTTCCCCCCCTCCCTGCTCCATCCTCAGTCCCCGGGCGGGGTTGCTAAGGAAACGGCCGCTTGGCAACGCGCGCGAGCCCGGGGGCCGGCGGCCGCCGCTGCGCCCCGCGCTGCTTCTGCCTCTGCTGCCGCTGCTACTGCTGCTGCGATTGCAGCCACCGCCGCTCGCCCTGCCGCCGCCGCGCCTCCTCCCTCACTCGCCGGCGCGCTCGCCTCCTCGCTAGATGGTGTGCGAGCCGCCCGAGAATTAGACACACTCCGGACTCGGCCAAAAGCAACCGAGAGGAGGTGTAGTGTGGCGCCAGGGGGTGGGAGGGGAGGGAGGGAGGGAAAGTGAAGAGGAGGAGGAGGAGGAGAGACAGAAAAAAGAAACAACACCCGACAACTAGGAGGGGGGGAAAGAAAGAAAGAAAAGAAACCCACCCACCCACTCAAAAAAAAAAAAAAATCTGTGGCGCGCCGCCTGGTTCCCGGGAAGACTCGCCAGCACCAGGGGGTGGGGGAGTGCGAGCTGAAAGCTGCTGGAGAGTGAGCAGCCCTAGCAGGGATGGACATGATGCTGTTGGTGCAGGGTGCTTGTTGCTCGAACCAGTGGCTGGCGGCGGTGCTCCTCAGCCTGTGCTGCCTGCTACCCTCCTGCCTCCCCGCTGGACAGAGTGTGGACTTCCCCTGGGCGACCGTGGACAACATGATGGTCAGAAAAGGGGACACGGCGGTGCTTAGGTAGGAAGAACGGCTTTCTTTTCGTACTTGTCTCAGTCTCTCTTTCTCTCTTTCCACCTTCTTTACCTTCTTAGTAATACTGGTGGTGCTCACTAATCAAAAGACCACATCTCAAGAAATCCCGGTGCTGATTCTTCCCAGAATCCAAGCCTCTTTTTTTTTTTTTTTTTTTTGCCAGGGCAGGTAGTAAGCTAGACTTAGGATGCTAAAGCACTTTGCTGGGAAGCCAAGTAGCCCGGGGTTGAGTGAAGTGTCAGGTTTGGAAGGAGGAGCAGGTGCCACTTTGAAACTCAATTCACAAGGTCTCTGTTTTACTGTCATGGGGTACTCTCCGAGAGTCTGACAAGTTTATCAGGTTTGTTTCTATTTCACTCTAGCCTAAGCGACTTTGTCAAAGTGCTGGCTCTCTGCTCCATTTATTTTTCCCTCTCACTTGGACACTCAGGCTCAATTTTTCTCCCTCTTTAGCTTTCTTTCTTTTTCTTTCTTCCGGTTTCTCCCCTCTCTTCTTTTTCCTTCCTCTCTTTTACCATTTTCTCCACCTCCGTCTTACTCTTTGCCTTCTTTCATCCGTTTTCTATTTTTCTGTTTCCTCCCCTTTTAATCTCCTCCACTTTTATTTCTTATCCACTTGTTTAACCCTATCCTCTCCTTTCTTCACCCTTCCCTTTCCCTTAATTTTTCATTCTCGCTAGTGTCCTCACTCTGTGCCTTGTCTTCCCTCTTTGATTCCCATTTCCCACATCCTTCTCCCCGTGCTCTTCCCCACCCTTGTCACACCCACATGCATGTTCCCGCTTTCCTCCTAAGTACCATTTCTCACCCTCATAAATCTTAGTTTTATAAACGCACTCCTTCACATGCTCTTTCATATCCTAGCACACATGGGCACTTCTGTACTCTACCGACCCCTCTCACGTTCAGATTCTTGCTGTTTAAAACACATACACTCCTCTGCTCCACACACTGTCACTCATATGTGTGTACACACTATCTCCCCCGACCCCCTCCTGCCTTCTCACCCTCCCCAACCTGCTGCCACCTCTTCTTCCAGCCTTTCTCCCTCCTGGTCTTCAGTTTTACTTCTCCCCCAATCCCTTCTTCTCCTTTCTCTGAGCTTAAATGTTGAAATGGTTTGTCATTAATGAACATCCTAGCCTGGTTTTATCCCTAAGCAACATTGCAGAATGAGCTTCTGGAAACATTTCCTTTCCTGTGAAAATACAAATTTATGATCAGTAGTGCCTGAATCTAAACAAGGCTAAATGCTCTATTCCTTCATTTCCCATTGCCCTCCCTTCTCCCCTGACACCCCCACCTGACATATACCTCAAATCTTCCTGAAAGATATTCTTTCTCTCCACTGGGTGGTAGTTGGCTTATAAGTGTAGGTTACACAAATTCAGGATACATGGCTTGTGAGAAGTGAAAGAAATTGGTATATATTTCTGTTTGAATCATGCAACATATTTTAAATTTAATGATGTGGGTGTGGTATATGGCTTATACATCTTGAAACATGAGTCCCAATTTGCAGAGTGCTATTATAATTTCTAATATACACTAATTTATGTTTTAACAATATGTTATATTTGTTATGAATACTGTTGTATATACAAAAGTAACAAGTTTTCAAATTACACATAGTAAAATAACTTCATTGTTGGTCATAACATTGTCACATAGAGAATATAATTTAAACACATAATTACTTTTTATATTGTTTCTTTTAGAAGTTTGAATAACAGTGATAAAGACAAAATACTACCTTCAGGGGCTGAAAACACATATCATGGGAGCTGCAATATGTATGACTGTAGTGGCATATTGCTTATGTGTGGAAAGCAGTACCATTTTCAACCTAAGGGATTTGGTAGATGGCTTATCTTTTCACCATATTACTTGGCATTTTTTTTTCCTAATGAACAATCCATCAGATACTATGGTTAATTACAATAGCTGGAGCCACATTCTGCTTCCAGGAGAACTCACTGCTTCCAACAGTGAAGCTTCCCTGACATGTGGGGACAATATCTTTCCAATGTTGTTGGTTTGGTGCAGTCCTTGTTTACTTTCTGAGCAGTGTACCTCATCCATTTATATGCTCTATCCTGAGTTTTGTAATATCTTTAGGAAAATTTTGACTTTTAAAACTTCTTAAAGCAAATAGAATCTCTGTCTCTTCTCAATGATGTTTTGAACCAATTATATTTTACTTTTTTGATGAACAATCAGTTTTTGTAATATGAAACAGAAATCTTATCTGCATTACCTTTTACTCAAAGCAACTTGTTCATATTAATTTATCTAGGATGTATCCAATTGTTCAATTTTTTACATTGCCCAAAGGTTTAAAAATAATTAAACCTATTTATTTACAACAAATTTTATCTCTATTAAAGCAACTTTAAGTAATATCAGATATTTTTCTTGACTTCTGCATTTGGTGTTGTCTTTGTTCAAGACCAAAACATGTATGGCCTAAGGACTCATATAGCGTGGGCAATTTAGGTGCCATATTTTTCATCAGGAATAAACTTACAGAGTTATATTCTGTTTTTTTTTTTTTTACTGATATGCTCAGTATCATATTTGGCATTAACCTGTAACTCATTAGAAAGCAAACCAAAAATCTACCCTCCAAATATACACCCCCTTCCCATCAAATAGATGAATCCAGTGTTAAGAGAATATTTAACTGAATTACAAGATGTTATTTATCAAGGTTTACGCAATATATTGTTTTTATTGTAGCATGTTTCCCAAAGTGTCTAATAAAAAACAAATGTTGGTATAACAGTTATCAAATAACTTTAAGTGGTAAAGGCCTTAAAGTGCAAGCCTGCCAGTCAGTGACTCTGTTGCTTGTGGTTACATTAATGAAACAGAAGTTTAAAGGTCAAATGATACATTTTCATCTTCTAAGTGCCAGAATGTCTGTTTTTAAGAAGAGAATCACAGAAAACAAAACTTTCCTTAAGTGGAGCTACAACTCAAAGGAAATTCATTCTATGATCTACTAACTTTATCATGCAAATAATATAATCTGTTAAATTTGAATAGAGAATTTATAGTGAAATTCCATTTAAAAATTTCAACATCTTTATTATTTTAACTTTGTCCTTTAAGGTTAGTCAATAATATTTTTCATTGCTAAATCTCTGAAGAATTCTCTTGAACTATTTGGACCTTCTTGATAAAATATTTCATGGTGAATATACTCAATGTAATAATATATACTTTCCTTGCCTAAACTTTGGTTTTAAGTAAATTCATGAGCATCTAAAGGACATTAATTTTATATAAACAGAGCATTTCCATTAACTAATTAAATATTGACTTTGATCACTACATCATGTAGTACATGTAGTATTTTATTTATAACAAAACTTGTTAAGCTTTGTGTGGACACATCAACTTTTTTATAGTTTTCAAGTTGCATTTATAATGCATAGAAGATATGAGTTACTTTGTCAGTGGATGACAGCAGAGAACAGAAGATGGTAGAACCACATTGGTTCTATTTTAGGAACCAGAGTGTGTAGAACTGAGGAGTGGGGCAAACATTACTTTGGAAAAGTATGTAAATTTTAGATGACTTTTTTTGTTACATAGAATATTGACATTACTGTACTGTCAATCAGTTGCTTTATTCTTACCCTATTAACATATACTATTGTATAAACAAGTTGAAAATGGTTAACATTCTTTGGAAACAACAGTGTGAACATCCTCATTTATATCCTCCTTGTGCCTGCAGATTTTTAAATTACATGTCATTTTTAAGCTAAATTTTTCAATCTGTTTCTCATTCAAACCCTTCTGTATGAATTTTGTGCATTTTTAGCCATCTTCCTGATAGGAATTCAAAATATCCTATTATCTGCTTGTCATGCTTTAATCAAAGGAAGGAAGAGAGATTCTTTACTTAAATGTGATATCTTCTTTTACTTTAGCAAAACTGAACACAACTCTGTCATTTTAATGCACTGAATTTGAATGGAAATTGTATGATACCCTACTATGATATTGTAATAAGCGGAAGCATTTTGCTTACAGCCTAGAACACAGTTCTAGGAAACATTTTCATTGGAACATACAAAACTTTTTCAAGTATATTTCTAAATGGATATGACAATTATTTATTATTTCTCAGCATGTTTGTCCAATACATTTTGCCTTTTGACTAAACTGTATTAATTAGTATTGGTTTGAATGCATACTATTGGCTATAGTAATTTAAATGATTTATGTATAAAAATGCAGAATTACTTATTGCAGTAAAAATGCATTATGCTGTACTTAGAGAATATCATTAGAAAGTATTTCATTGTTGAGTTGTTCCTACACGTGAATACTTTGCATATTCCAAGTAAGCTTCTTAATGTGGCATAGTGGTTTTTCAGAACTATTCTGTAGTATGATGTATTGCCAAGTATATTAATATACAGCCTTTATTAATTAAGTAACAACATAATATTTTTAACCTTTCTAGATAAATTTATATTTGCCATTGGAGATTTAGATCCTTTTAAATTTATTTATTCATTTTTGATACCAGAGATTGAGCCCAAGGGTGCTTAACAACTAAGCCATATCCTCAGCCCTCTTTTATTTTTCATTTAGCGACAGGGTTCACTAAGTTGCTTAGGAACTCACTAAGTTGGTGAGGCTGGCTTTGAACTTATGGTCTTCCTGCCTCAGCCTCCCAAGCCTCTGGGATTACAGACATGCATCATGCACATAGTTCAATTTTTTTTTCTTAATTCACAATCATTGAAAAGTTCATTTTGTTGTATAAATCTTTGTACCAAATCATGTTAATATACTACTTATTTTGAATAGATTGGTTTTGTAATTGAACTGCTTCATGAAATAAGTTAATTCTGTAACACTTGACTTCTAAAGAATTTAAGAAATTGGTCATATCATGGTATGTGTCAGCCAGTTGTGGGCCTGTTGTACTGGTGAATCCTTTATCATTCGGCTGTTCTAAGTGT